TATATATATAATTAAAAAACAGGTGACTGGTTTAGGTTTGATTTACTGTATTCTTTGCCTTTCACTTTCAGGCATCATAGCTATAGCTGGGATTAATGAGGCACTTAATTCAGGTGACCAGCAGCAAACCCTTGCAGCTCTTCTTCAACCGACTGCCAAGCTGACAGGAGTGAACCCAGCCACAGGCAAGCACTACTATGATGTCCTACAGCATACCAAACAGCTTCTCTGCCAGGTARTGTGATCATCATTTTACTTAATGTGTTTTTGGCATTTATGGAAAAAAATATTTTATAGCTATAAAGTTGTAAATAAAAAAAAATCATTATCATATGCCCCATTTATTTCTAAATGTACATTTATTTTATTGGCGATATACAGCAGCATTTCTTATGATCAATGATACCWCTGATAAATACATCTACATTGCTTAATTACACTTTTTGCAAAAAGACACATGTTAAGATCTGGGAACTACTATAAAGGAAAGGTTTTGAATTTACTGTGTATACAAAACAAGTTGCTATTGATTGTACAGTTAGCATGTTGTAACATTTCATTAGTATTGTATTAAAACAAACAAAGGTTGTCCTGTTAACTTCCTGGTAAATTCTGCATGCAGTGATGTGCCTCCACTCTGTTCCAACAATAGTGTTGTGTGTGAGGAACAATAAGCCTCATATCCTAATGGCTGGCCTCTGAGGTGTCCTGTGAAGAGAAATGAATTGTATTTCAGAGTCTGCACTCTTGGAAAGGAGCATACTCAGGAAGGGATCCAGACAACTGTGAAAACARCAGAGACACACCGCTAACCGATAGTATCCATACAGTCTGTCGTCCCCATTGGAAAACAGGCGGATGTAGTGAGCTATATGCAGGATGCCACTGGGCAAGAAACACACTACAAAGATGGTGAAAACCAGCGTGCTCGCCCTGATGAAAGCTCTCCAGTCAGAAGCGCTTTGTCCCAGGTGATAAACCACTGCTGTGTGGGTGAAGATGCAAATGCTAAAGGGTAGCAAGAAGCCCAGAAAAACCATYACCAGTCTGTAAGGCACCAGCGGGGAATGGGAGTTGTCTTCCAGGGGAAGKACATCGTGACACATGGTGATATTCAGCTGTGCAACATGGTAGCTCTGTCTGACCAGGAGCTCAGGCACAACAGCTGCTCCAAACAGAAACCAGACCACCAAACACATCCACACCGCCAACATAGTTTTAGGCATCCTTCTGTACAAAAATGGCTTGACCACAGCCAGGTAGCGCTTCAAACTGATGCAGGCTATCGTCTGAGCAGAACCGTAAACGTTCCCGTAAAATAGAGCCGTGATGAGCCGACAGGAGATTTCTCCAAATATCCAGTTGTTTGYGTTGAGGTGATAGTGAACACGCAGTGCGAGAGAGAGCACGAGCAGCAAGTCGGAGAAGGCCAGGTTCAGGTAAAGAACCACTGAGGGCAAAGACTTTGATTGAAGTTTGACTCGGAGGAAGGCCAGAATGTAGGCATTGGAAGGGATACCAATAAGCATGGTCAGTATGTAYGATAAAGGTATGACCCTGGTGCTGAGGACCCCCGTGCTGTAATCTGTCACTGGCCCATCAAGGTCCACATGAAGTTGAGTGTCTGGGTCAGGGTGGGGCCCATCATACAGCCTCCTTATGTGGTTTAATTTACAGACTGATCCTTTAAAGGTTTTTGGTACTGCTGTATTATTTCCATTTTTTCCATTATTTCCACACCAGGTTCTGTTTCCTGTTTAAAAGAGAGAAATATTTAGAAAATTAAACTAACAGTTTAACTTGATGAAAGTACATTTGAAGCTATAAAACAGACATTTAAATTCTCTATCTTCTTTTATTGAACTTGTCTACTAAAAACACTGTCTTAATAAATTCACTACAGTTCTCAAAACATTTCATTTTGTCAAAATAAGTATTTTTTCAAGTTTGACCAAAATCACTTTTTACATGTTTTTTTTTAAAGATCCTCTCCCAACAACTAAATCTAGTTATTCTTTTAGTATGTTTTTAAACAAATCTTACCTCCGTGCTGACTGGTAGGTATAGCCAACAAACAAAGGAGCAGTCCTGAAACAAGATGAGCCATRTCCCTTTTAAATTTTAGATTCCAAGTCAGTCGAAGTTTCTTGTCTTCAGCCGCTTTGGTGTTGCTTCTTTTTCAGCGGGTTTCCATCGGTGAAACTTCCCCTTCTGCATCTCTTCCACACTGTTGTGGAGCTGGTAATTGTTGTGTACTGGAAGCCAAACTGTTGTTTAAACGGGATCCTTATCTGCGTGTGGAGCAGTGAGCTTGTTTCCTGTTCAGGCCTGAAAACTGAATTCCCTTCAGTCTGTGTCAGAAACTTCCCTCTGACTCACATGGGGGCATGTGGGAGGGTGGCCGCTTACTGGCTCATCAGCAGCTGTGATCTGTTAACTAACTGCAACAAGAAGAATAGATTTTTGTGCTTGAAATAGTTTTACTGCAATTGAGACAGATTCTAGATGTTTTTCAGCTTTTTTACAGAATTGTGGCATCATTGATTTAATTCAGTATGATTTAAAGTGCGGTAAATAAGTCACTTCTAACATGGTATTTGTTTATTTTAGTGATGTTTCTTTTTACCAAGACACCACTTTGCTGTTCTGTTTGTTTCATCCTTCACWACTTTAATGTTTAGCAATTCAGATTTTTCTTTAAGTTGAGTTTATCACAGCAGATACAAACAAACACTAATTTTAGACTTCTTTTTTTTACTTGTGACTTCCTTCCTTATGACTCTGTGACCACGGATAAAACCCCACCCACTCAAAAGTCTCTAAAATTAGCTGGAGAAAAAGCACAATGGTCAAGCTGYATAAACATTGTTTGTCGTTGGGATGCTTGTAGGTTAGAGTTAAAATGACGGGTTGTTTTCACACACTTCAGAGCTCACACTGCTCTGTTATGTGTGGATGCAATAACAGGACCAACGTTTGCAGTTAAAACCTGTTTTTACTGTATAGCTTTGCTGTCTTCAAACTCCGGAAACAACAACAAAAATCTCCATTAACTTAATGACTTTGCCTTATGTGCCTTTTATTAAAACTACAGGGTGTTTTTCTAATCCTGTTCATTAAATGTTTTGACTTGATCTGCTTTAAAAAGTTGTTAGTTTGCAGCAGCTGTGCATTAGTAGTGTCTTTTGTTGTTTTGCACACGGATCTTTTGTCTGAGAACTGAAGTCACCTCTGTGTTTTTAATGGTTGTAGAACTCCGGTGTTGATTCTACTGTGCTGTGGTTGGACCAAATCCAAGAGGCCATATTAACAGCCAATCGGGATGAAGAAGAGGCGCTCTCAAGTACGCACACACAGTTGTAATTTATCGACATCTACATAATTTGAAGAAATTTTGACATTTTTGTGTGTATTATGCATATATAATAGAACACTTAACGCACAATAAGTTGTTATTGGATTTTTACATGTTGCTGTCTTAAAAAAAATCACTCCTCATATGAATTTATTGTATTTTACTTTCTTGAAATTTCTTTCTTTTTATGAATTTAATTCACATCATTCTTTAAACTGCACTTTCTGTAGTTACATTCTCAACAATGTCTTTGTTTTGTATACTTTGTTAGTGTCTGGGGCTGTTGCTCACATTAACACAAAGGTGGCCGAGGGGRACTCTCAGAACACCCTGCAGGCTTTGCAGACCCCCAGTGCAGGACTGAGAGCGGTGCATCCTAAATGTGCAGAGACTTACCAGGCTGAACTCTCAGAGCTACAGAACAGCCATGCTGATAAAGGTAATTACATATCCAGAGTACGTACTTGCCCAGGTTTTACCCACCCTAACAAATCATCAAGTCACAAATATGGATGAAAACCAAATACTTGAACTGTAATTCTAAACAGAGACAAATAAAATGACACATTTTTGTTTAAAAGTTACATATCTGTGATTTCCAAGACCTCTAGAAACTCATCTGACAATAGAAAAGAATAATTACAAACCTACAAAAGTAACATTTTATAGGTTTGTTTCTCAAACTTAAATCCCCTCAGAGCACCCTAAATTGGTCTGTTTAGTAAAGCTGAAGGGTGAGGTGTCTTAATGGAATTGGTGTATACACTTTGAGATTTTTTTTATTTTATTTGTTGCTTTCCTCCAGGCAGCAGCGATGGTGTGTGGGTAAAACACTGCATCAAGGACAGATATGACTACTATTATAACCTGAAGAGTGGGCGTGGCACCTGGGAGGAACCTGAAGGATTTGAACACTGTGCTGGCCAGCTCAGCAAAGAGGACATCCAGGTATTACTGCAGTAATACCTGTTTTACAAGGAGACTCACTCAATAATTAATCTGAAATTGTGCTGGTGTATATTGAGTGATTTTGCCATTATTGGGGTTAACTTGAAATTTTTTCCCTCCCTCTCTGTCAGAATGTAGTCAGCTGTGTGACAGGAGAATATAACAGAGAACAACTGTGGCTAGCCAACGAATCCTTCATTATCCAGCTGCAGGCGAGGGTAAGAGGTTACCTGGTTAGAAAAAATCACACTGAGAGGATGGAGTATCTACGTCAACAAGAACCATCCGTAGTTAAAATCCAGGTATGAGATGTTAATGTTGAAAAAACTTGAAATGATCTTTGGCTCGAATGACACACACATTGAAATGCTCCTATATGAGATACTGAGGCCACATTGCTCCGTGTGTGTTTATTGGTTACTTATTTGTCTTTATGCACTGAATAGCACTTCAACAAGTCTTAAAAAAAAGTGCTGTATATGTATTTTTATAACCTATATTGGTAATGTTGCTTACCTGAGTTTAATAATCAGTGTTGTGGTTTTGCTGAAACAAAACACTATTTGTACATGCCTAATGTTTTTATTGTGCTTCACCTTCCTCCCAGGCTTGCTTTAAAGGTTACAGGCAGAGGAAATTTTACAAAGCAAGGAAGAATCTGCTTCAAAAGAATGTTGCTTCAATTGTCAAGGTGATTTATTATAGTTTTTTTAGTGCTTGTATTGTTTCTGAACAACTGTAAGTGAAAAATTGTTCTTTGGAAATCATCAGCCACAGCCCTAAATGGTAGCTGAGATTAAACATTCAGTAAATAGGTTTATGCTTAAATAAACAACAGCTTTTGTATTTAATCTGTGACAAAAAATGTCCTGATGTTTTTAGATCCAGTCCATCGTAAAAATGTGGAAAGCGAAGCGGAAATACAATCAGAGGTTGCAGTTCTTCAGAGATCATGTGAGTTTCCTAAAATCAGCCTGTAATTGTTTTTCTTCCATGCTGCTTAAGACCCACTGCTTTTTGTGTACTATATTTATTTATTTTTATTTAGGAGAAAGAAATCATTCAGATTCAGGCTTTCCTGAAGGCAAACAAAGCCAGAGATGACTACAGAACTTTAAGTGAGTCAGAAGCTGTTTTACACTTTGCCAGTTGGAGTTGAAAGTTTGTGATATCAAAGCTAAAATTCAAATAAAATTTGAATCAAGCTCCTAACATAAGTAATATTTTAAGTGAATTTCCTGGAAGCATTAGTTAAAAAGTTTCTTTTAAAAATTACAACATCTTTAAGATATTTGGGATTTTTCTTTTATGCTGTAAAATGTATTAAATTGAAAATATATTAAGAAAAAGAAAATCACTTGTGTTTGTTGTCAAACCTGGACCAGGACATTTGCTGACTGTTTTTGGTCACTTTTTTTTTTTTTTTTTTTAGCTGGAGCCACAGATCCTCCTCTGTCTGTGGTGCGGAAGTTTGTCCACTTGTTGGAACAGAGCCCCCTGGATTTACGTGAAGAACAGGAAGTGACACGACTCAGGGAGGAAGTGGTCACAAAGATTCGCTCCAATCAACAGATGGAGAAAGACTTGAATCTGATGGACATAAAAATTGGACTGCTGGTGAAGAACAGGATCACTCTGCAGGTTGGAGAAACTTAAAAACCTTTAGAGAGAAATGATACATAATTGACGCCATCATGGAGTTTTATGAGTCGTTACGTTTACCACATGCCTCATATGTCACATTTTCATAATGTGCTCATATTTTATTTGTTTTGGTTGGAGTTTATTTCTTTGTTTCATTGAACAGGACGTTGTGACGCATAATAAGAAAATGAAAAACATGAAGAACAAGGCGAGTAAAGATGACTCGACTGGTGGAGACGGTCTGGGTATCAAAGGTCTCAGTAAAGGCAAACGGAGGAAACTGGAAGCCTATCAACACCTCTTTTACCTGCTGCAGGTAGGATGCTGATACATCATGACACCAGGCCTTTACACAACTAAAAATATACTGTCATAGCTGAAACAGCTAAGACTTTTTTTTCCATAAATGTATTAAAATATAATTTTAAAACTCAAATGTCCAGGTTTTAAAACTTAAGTGTGACTACTAGGCCTATTGTGATAAACAATAATATGGTTTGGAGACCATTTTAAATTAATATAAGGATATCCCCCTCCGCTTACAGAGCTTACAGAAGTTTATGAAATTTACATACATAAAACAATAAATAAAAGTTATGAAATGACCTGGACCAGAGGTAGTAAAATCACTTCCCACCTCCTCTATCCAAGCTGGCACAATTTATACTGAAACCTAGTAAATCATCTTTTTCTAAGGTGTATGAGGAATACTTTGTTTTTTCTACTGTGACTGTATATTTGCTGTTTAAAAAGTTGCATTATCTTAAACTCTCCTCTCCTTTCCTTTTTTAGACCAATCCATCCTACCTGGCAAAGCTGATTTTTCAGATGCCCCAAAACAAATCTACAAAGTTCATGGACACTGTAATCTTCACTCTGTACAACTATGCCTCTAACCAAAGAGAGGAGTATCTGCTGCTTAAACTCTTCAAAACTGCTCTAGAAGAAGAGATCAAGTGAGAAATGCATCTCTGAACCTTGTGTTATAATGTCGGGTCCTTTTATGTGCTGTTCTGTAATCTTAACTGTGATTGGTATTAAATGTCAGTTCTCATTGTGTCTCAGTTCTAAGGTGGATCTCATTCAGGACATAGTGACAGGCAATCCCACAGTTATCAAGATGGTGGTGAGCTTTAACAGAGGCGCACGTGGTCACAACACGCTGAGGCAGCTGTTGGCTCCAGTGGTCAAAGACATCATAGAAAACAAGAGTTTGGGCATCAACACCAACCCTGTGGATGTGTACAAAGCCTGGGTGAACCAGCTGGAGACGGCTACTGGAGAGGCCAGGTAACAGCGAAGATAACCGGTGTTTCTGGTTATGCTCTATTTTACTCTCTTGTGCAAATTTGAGCTACTTTTTTTTTTACTAATTTTAGCTGTTTTCTGCTATTTCAGCTAAAATTCTACTTCTTTCTGCTATTCTTCTGCTTTTTTCTGCATTGTTATATTTTTTTCTGCTAATTTGTGCTATTTATGCTTCCTACAGTTGCTTTCTTCTATATTCAGCTAATTGCAACAAATTTAGCTAAATTTTAGCTGTTATTAGCCAAAGTTAGCTTTCTAAGCTAATTACACATTTTTTGGAGAATTTTCAACTTTATTCTGCTAAATTCAGCAAACTTGTGCTCCTTATGCGTCCTGATGCTAATTAAAATTTGTTCAGCTACTTTTTAGCTGTTTTACTGAAAATTTCGGCTGTTTTTCCTATTTTACATCAAATGCTCACTTTTTAGTAGTTTTATGGGTTTTTATTCTGCAAATTTAGATTTTTTTACAACTACTTCACCATCTGGGTGCTACTCTCAACTTGAGTCTGCTACCTTTAGCTTATTTTAATGCTAACTTCAGCTTTTTTCTGCTATATTAGCTAAAATTCTACTTCCTTCTGCTGTTCTTATGCTTTTATCTGCTTTGTTATACTTTTTTCTGCTAATTAGTGCTATTTATGCTTCTTATAGTTGATTTCTTCCATATTCAGCTATTTGCTACAAATTTAGCTAAATTTTAGCTATTAGACAAAGTCAGCTTTCTAAGCTAATTTAACATTTTTTGGAGCTATTTCAACTTAATTCTGCTAAATTCGGCAAACTTGTGCTCCTTATGCATCCTTATGCTAATTAAAATGTTTCCAGCTACTTTGTAGCTGTTTTACTGAAAATTTCGGCTGTTTTACCTATTTTACTTCAAATGATCACTTTTTAGTAGTTTTATGGGTTTTTTCTGCTAATTTTGTAATTTTTACAACCATTTCACCATCTAGGTGCTACATTTGACTTCGGTCTGTTATATTTCCTTGAAAAAAAAAAAACTAAACAAAACTTAAAAACCTAAAATTTTGCCTCCTGTTGTCATCCATCAGCAAGCTGCCGTATGAAGTGACTCCTGAACAGGCCATGTCACACGAGGAAGTTCGCAACAGGCTGCAGACGTCCAGCGAAGCTCTACGCTCGGCTACAGATAAGGTCTTGAACTCCATTGTGTCCTCGCTGGATAACATCCCGTGAGTTTCATGATCTGTTTACTGTCTGCATCCTCATTTTAATTTGCTCTCTGTGACAAGTTCTCATGGCTCTTCTTTTTCATATGTGTAGCTCTGTGTGCATGTTTTATTACAAGATTTTAATGTTTTGTATTACAGAATTTTAAAAGCTGTTTTCATTCTGGTTTGTATTGGCTTTATTTTTTTGTCTGTAAAATATTTCTTAGCATCTTTTTTAAATTAGAGGAAATATACGTTCAGGTATTAGTTGATTACGTTTCTGAATGTTTGGAAATTAAAGGATTTATCAAAATGTAAAGAGATGAGTTTTCTGTCAGAGCCATTGTTTTTCCTTGGACTCTATTTACCCCACGAGATGGTGCTGTTTTGTTAAAACAAAGCCCTCACTGAGTTTTTTTTTTGTTGTTGTTGTCTCAGAGCATGTGAAAGCATGTTTTGTTTATAATTTCCCATCATTACTTTTTGATTTGCATGCAGTTATGGCATGAGATACATAGCAAAGGTTCTGAAGAACAGCCTCCATCAAAAGTTTCCAGATGCCACAGAAGATGAACTGCTGAAGGTAGAAACACAAAGATGTTAAAAATGTTCTTCTGTTCACAGAAGGCTTCAGTCTTCAGTGTTTGTTTGATGTTTGTGTACATTCAGATGAGTCTTTATTGATTGTTGTTTAGATTGTAGGAAACCTGCTGTACTATCGCTACATGAACCCAGCCATCGTGGCTCCAGACGGCTTTGACATCATCGACATGTCAGCAGGAGGCCAGCTTCACCTGGACCAGCGACGGAACCTGGGATCTGTGGCAAAGATGCTTCAGCACGCCGCTGCAAATAAGCTGTTTGAGGGCGAGAATGCACACATGACGCCAATGAATAACTACATATCYCAGACTTACGACAAGTTCAGGTGAGACGGTTAAAGCCAGACTAATTATGCTCCGTCAGCATTCAGAAGCAACATAATAGAAAACCCAAGGGATGATAAAATAATAACAATGTCAGGAGTATGGGAGGAAACGATGATGATAAACTTGTTTTGATTAAACGGGGAGGTTAAGTTGATATGATGAAGCCAGATGTGATTCTGGTAAAAGAGGAAGCTGTTCTCTGCCAAATCAGCAGACAGGAGACAGTTTTATTCACAAAACTCAGTGCCAGAGATCTACCCACTCACAAACAAGGGAGGCAGTTTTGTTAGTGTGTGTCATCATTACTGGAAGTCCACAAAAATAAGCCAGCTTTATTGGTTTTAACTGGTCAGTTTGGATGTTTTTTTCCCGTGTGTGCTACTAGGGATGGGTACTGAATTCGATACTTTTTAAAGTACAGACCGAATTCTGTCGGTACTACCGAGAACCTATTCACGTAACATCAAATGGTACCATGTTTTGGTACCTAAACGCATCATTGCGACCATATTGGCATAAGAGTGGTGAGTTTTCCATGCTTGTCCTGAACACATCATCGCACAAGAGCGTAACGACGTCAGCAGCCGCTGGTTCAGTACACAGAGGTCAGTCTGAACTTAGCATGAAAGCAAGGCTCACAGCTCCTAAACTCATCGAACAGATCACCTCTGAATTTTCTGGTGGATTAATTATCTTGTGAGCACRACGTTCGCTCGCTCAAAGTAAATAAAGTACCGCCACTTTCTTTATTTCATCCRCCATTAAACAGAGACMRGCAGAGGAAAACAACAGAGGCACTTGCCGACAGTCCAAACACGTCTGATCTGAAAGAGAACAAGCGGCTAACTTGAAGTGTTGGCGTGTTTTGGATGCTCAAATTGTAGCTTGAATACCTTTTATTTGTTTTAACTCAGTCCTCTTTTGTTTATTTGATTTAAACTAATTTGCCTTCCATGGACCTCCATCACACATTTTTCTAGCGGGGAAATGATATCAATAGAAATACATGGAGCTGGATTTTAATTTGTGCAATAAGACAAAACAGTCTTGTTGTTTTCATGAGTTTGCACTATAAAGAAATAAGTTACACAACTGATGTTACAATACATAGAGTTGGATGTTGTCTTGATATTTGTTAATTTTATATATTGAGAAATATGTTAAAAAAATTTAAAGTTTATTATTTAAAAAAAAAAACAACAACACACACAAAGTACCGAAAATTGGTACCATTTTGTACCGGTACCAGATATTGGTACCGAATCGATTCAAATGCCAAAGGTACCCATCCCTATGTGCTACAGAAATTATGGGATTCTTACAAAATGACTTTCAATAATATTGTGATTTTACACAAATATTGTAGTATTTAAACCTGGAAGATTAACTCCTCAATATTCCTCCAGATCGTTCTTCCAGTCCGCATGTGATGTTCCTGAACCTGAGGAGAAGTTTAATATTGATGAATACACTGACATGGTGACTTTGAGCAAACCTATCATCTACATCTCAATAGAGGAGATCATCAACACTCACTCGGTAAACCCAAACCAAAAAAAAAAAATTTTTACCAGTGTGCTTTAATGACTCTTGTTAGGTCAACCTGATGAGATGAGGTAAAAAAAAAAAAAAACTGTTTAAGCTCGTTCATTAGATGTTTGAAGTAGAAAGGTATCATTTACAGGGCACTATAAACTATTCATAAACCTAACACTTAGTTTAGATTCAGAACCAAATAGAGTCAAACAGAATATGAATGTGTGAAAGGCAGCTCCTACTTAAGAACTGTTGTATTGATTTTTGTTTTTAACTACAGACTTTATTAGATTTTTGCACTAATTCTATAGCTGAGACAATATCTCCACGTTGTTACAATAGTTTCAGCGACTAATTGAAATGAATATTTAAACTAAACATATTGAATTATTAACGTGTCGTTTTAAAGCTACTTCTTGAACACCTGGAGGCCATCTCACCAGACCACAATGACTTGCTTCATGAGCTGCTGCAGGACCTGGGAGATGTTCCCGATGTGGAGGCACTGATTGGTGCGGTCCAGCACACTTTTCTTTAAATTCCTTCTAGTTCAAACTCACGTTGACCGGTTTTACACGCTGTGCTGTTTTTAATTTGCAGGCGAAGGAGCTGTAGACCCAAACGACCCAAACAGAGAAAGCACTCTGGGCCAGCTGGCAAAGACTGAGATCTCCCTCACCCTTACCAGCAAGTTTGAGCTGCTGGAGGGGGACGACAGAGACTTAAAGACTCTAATGACAAAGTGAGTTAATGGTTGGAGCTAAGACAAAATGTGGTCCCACAAWATGTTTCAATGTTGCACTCATTTTCATTTTTTCATGAGTTTAAAGCTGTGATCCACGACACAGTTAATGTGCCTTAATTGTTGTCACTCAGCTGCATATCTWTGTTGTCCTTCCTGCTCCACTATCATTTCCTGTCCAAAACAGAAAGCGKTTCTGAGGTCAGGGTTATCTGGTGTTAAAACGTGCATCCGTTTTGAGCCGTCTCCTAAAACAATTTATTAGTTTTCTGTAATGTTGAGTAGATTATATGGATGTGTTATAAAACCCTCTTTCTTTCCTGCAGGCGTCTGTCAGTACACTGTTCTTTTCTAGTCATTTGCAAGTACTAACAATGTGTATCCCAAAGAGCTGTTAGATGAAATCTAGCTAGATCTTAACCTGGTTTTCAAGCACACATTTCCCAATATTCTGTTTTAATCAAAGTTAAAGGAAAAAATCTAAAATAACTTTAGTGAGCCTGAAAAACTGTTGATTAATACGACTCTAAAAATAAAATCTTTCTACTTGGTGTTTTTAAAGAGATCCATGATTAGTTGTAACATTAGACTTTATTTGATAAACATTTATTTTAACTGTAAAATAAAGGCTGTAAAAATAC